CCTGAATTTTTGCCGGTTGCCGTAAGCCTGGCAAATGAACGACTAAATTGTGTGAAGGGGTTCTAACATGCCTTGTAGGTTCTTGACGCGACCATTTGTACCTATTTTTACCATAATAGTTTTTACTTGACTTTGATGTGTCGCTATTTCGCGGTTCTTCAAACACTTCTTCCAACTCTTCTTCTAGTCCCTCTTCTAAATATTCATGCTGTTTTTTTGTGTTATTAATAAATTCCTCTTCCGTCTCAGATTCTGATAATAAGTCCGGAACTGTATCCTCACTTTCCATGTAAAAGTCTTCATCAACGTTATCGACGTCACTGGACCGGCAGCTATCTTCTTCATACCACTGCATAAGAGTAGCATCATAATCTGGATCTCCAAATTTTACTTCTTTAGACGGTCCGGGTTTGTTTTCCATTTTTATTTTTCTAAACAGTAAAAAATAATGAGACCAAGTCGTTATAAATTTTCTTTTTATACTTACGTTATTGGTGACGTGGAGTCTGCTGGACTCCTCGGAAATTTCAAATACTACGTCTTTCACGACACTAACGTTACCGCATGTGATTGCTGTAGGCATTGGTAGAAGGTACCTAGGAGAGGGAGTTAATATATGTTAAATTTCAAAGATGGCGTGATTCAAAGAAGTTGTTGGAGTCTGGCAGACTCCATGTCACCAGTTACGGGTTAAAAGTCGAATCCTTAGAATTTTATCAAATATGTAAAATCTGTAAAAGGTCTTTACAAAAATATACCACATATTCCTTAGACCAAAATAAGTCGATTTAAGTAAAATTACCTTAGTACAAAGTTGCTTCGTTTGGGCTCCAGAGGGCCTTGAAGTTATAATTTTTAAATCGTTTTTCCCATATAAATTTAAAACGGTATATGCGATTTTGCTGAAATTTGGAATATTGGTAGAGTTTTATGTGGCAAAAAAATGGTATTAAAATGTTGTCCGATAATATTACATAGGCGTAGACCTTGATTTTTTAAATAATTGCACCTTTAAAAATTCTACGCCAATGAAAGAAAAGGAGTTTGAGTATGAAATTTAGATTGCGCAACTCATTTACTTTAAAAAAGGTACTTTTGATAAGACTCGATTACTCTCATGGTTTTCGCTAAATTTCTGTTTTAATAATTTAGAGTGTATAAGTTTCACAAAAATATTTATTTACAACATAATCAAAATAGAAATTTTACAAAAATTGTTCAAAATGTTCACCATTTTCACGCATACAAAGATTTATACGTCGAAGAAAATTAAAATGTATCCTCTCCATAACTTCTTCATCACCTCTAAGATTGTTTATTGCATCTTGAATACGTTGCCAGAGTTGTTCCTCATTTTCTACAGGTTCCCTGTAAACTGTGGATTTCAGATGTCCCCATAAAAAGTAATCCATCGGTGTTAGGTATAGGGAACATGGTGGCCAGTTTACAGGTGCGTCATTACCTCTGCCTATCCATTTGTGTGGACATTGTTCATTCAAATGGTTTCTAACGTTTAAAGAAAAATGTGGTGGAGCTCAATCTTGCATAAACCACATATCTCTCTGAAGTTGGAGAGGTATATTTTCTAACAATTCTGGCAACGTATTTTGTAGAAAATCCAAATAATTTTCTCCAGTTAATCTTCGTCGAAGTATGACAGGACCAACATTGAAATTACCAATTATTCAAGCCCACACATTAATTTTGAATTCCTGCTGAAAATGGTTTACCTTTATTGCATGCGGATTTTCCACGGCATAAACATGTTCATTATGGGTATTAGTTATACCTCTTCTTGTAAAACCTGCTTCATCGGTAAAGAGAACCTTCTTGACAAAGTTTGGATCTCTTTCTCTTTGCATATTTACAAATCGACAAAAACCCAAACGAATTTGAGGATCATGGACTAATAATTCTTGTACTGGCTTCTTATGGTATGGATATAGCAATTGTTCTCCAAGCACTTTATGAACGACATCATTACTTACTCCTAGTTCCCTTCCAATTCGTCTGGTGTTTAATTCTGGATCTTCCTCAACACGTTCTAAAATGTCTTCTTCAACTTCAGGAATCCTTACAAAACGTTCTCTTCTATTATCAACAGTGTTGGGAGCAAAATAACCGGTCTCCCTAAGACGTCTCTCAACAGCAGCAGAAGTTGGGTGGCTAGGTACACGACGATTTGGAAACCTTTTAGAGTACACCCTGACACTCTCTCGAGCATTTCCTTCACAAAATCCTAATGTCAGTAACATATTGGTATATTCTGCCTTGGTATATTGTACAGCCATATTAATAAACCACGCATTTGTTTTTTTAATTATTGAGTCAGATAGAACACTTTCAATCGTTAACAAGAGATTAGGTGTTAAAACTTGACAATATTTTTATTTAGGTGAAACTATGGAAACCAACAATAAATGTTTTTGTATACGTATTGCAGGCAAATAATTAATATTCCTCAAAAAATCATACACTGCAAGAATCAAGTATTTTTATTAAAAGTCTCGATTAGAGATGTTGAAGAAGATATGAAAAAAGTACATTTTTATGTTTTTCATCGTATAAAATTTTGTCCGATAATAATACATAGGCGTAGAACTTGATTTTTTAAATAATTGCACCTTTAAAAATTCTACGCCAATGGCAGAAAAGGGGTTTGAGTATGAAATTTGGATTGGGTACTCATTTACTACAAAAAAGTACCCTTGATAACACTCGATTTACTCTCATGGTTTTGACAAAGTTTGTATTTTAATAATTATTGTTTATGTTCTAAAATTACTAAAATGCAAATTTCGTCAAAACCATGAGAGTAATCGAGTCTTATCAGGAGTACCTTTTTTAAAGTAAAGTTGCGCAATCTAAATTTCATACTCAAACTCCTTTTTTTCCATTGGCGTAGAATTTTTAAAGGTGCAATTATTTAAAAAATCAAGTTCCACGCCTATGTATTATTATCGGACAAAATTTTAATACCATTTTTTTGCCACATAAAGCTCTACCAATTTACCAAATTTCAGCAAAATCGCATATGCCGTTTTAAATTTATATGGGAAAAACCATTTAAAAATTGTAACTTCAAGGCCCTTTGGAGCCCAAACGAAGCAACTTTGTACTAAGGTAATTTTACTTAAATCGATTTATTTTGGTCTAAAGTATATGTGGTATGTTTTTGTAAAGACCTTTTACAGACACCCTGTATTTACACAAATATTTGTTTTTACGATTCCTCTTGTAAAATGTGCAAGTACGCTTTATAAAACTATTGTATGCAAATTGTTTTGAATACTAATATTTAATTTTCTCTCCTACTAATAATCAAGAGGTAATAAGAATAATATCGGACTTAAAAAACAAAAAAGCACCAGGAGATGACGGTTTGAAAGCAGAGACATTAAAACTAATTTCAGAATATATAGCTAGTCCTCTAACCTATATAATAAATAAAATGTTTCAACTGGGAAAATTTCCTACAGCCCTTAAATTATCAATCGTTACACCTATATTTAAAAATGGAGATAAGTCTGAAATGGGCAATTACAGACCTGTGTCCCTCATATCAAATATTGCTAAAATTGTTGAAAAAATAATAAAAATTAGGCTAACAAACTTTTTGGAAAAACATAACATATTATCAAACTCGCAATTTGGCTTCAGACAAAAAATGTCAACCCAGGATGCAATTAAGTGCTTAACAAAAAATATCTATGAAACATTAGACAAAAATAAACCATCAATTGGAGTATTTATTGATTTAGCAAAGGCTTTTGACACTGTAGACCATAGCCTGCTTCAATCATCTTTAGAAGACATAGGAGTGAGAGGTACTGCTAATGATTTGTTTGCAAGCTACTTAACAGGTAGAAAACAAAAAGTAAAAATCAAGCAGGATCTAAGTAGTGAACAAACTATCATGTGTGGTGTCCCTCAGGGAACAGTGTTGGGTCCAGTGTTATTTATAATTTACCTAAACAATTTGTTTTTATTAGAAGAAGACAACAAAATAATTAGCTTTGCAGACGACACGGTAATATTTTATACAGCTGAAAATTGGTTTGAACTAAAACAAAAGGCTGAGATCCATTTATCCGAAATTAAAAATTGGTTCGATCACAGACTACTTTCAATGAATTTCAAAAAAACTTTGTATGTACCTTTTAGTTCTCTAGACTCATCTCTTCCAAATTTTAAGTTAACAGTCCAAAACACAATTCAAATTCAACCTGCAAACCAAATAAAATATCTAGGTATTTTCATTGATAGTATGCTAAAATGGAACGTACATATTGATTTTTTAGAAAAGAAACTTAGATCAATTCTATATAGGTACAAACAGATCTCAGAGATACTGGATATTAAACAAAAAATTATAGTATACCAAAGTATAGTTGAACCGCATATTAGATATGGTATTTTAGGATGGGGCGGTGTTACTAGAACTCACCTAAATTCTTTGGAAATTCTTCAAAGAAGATTTTTAAGTATTATTTTAAATAGAGAGGCTTTGTGTGCAAGTGATCAACTATATAAAGATACAAATATATTAGACTGTCGTCAGCTATTCTTTCTTCAAGCATGCAATACTCAGTTTATGACGAAACATTCCCTCAAAACTGGAACACATAAGTACGGCACAAGACAAAGGGAGGACATTATCTTGCCTTTTATGTTCAAGTCTATAGGACAAAGAAGTTTTAATTATCTGGGTCCTAAAGTTTTAAATTTGTTTCTAAAAAATACAGATAATGTAAATACAAAAAACTTGAAAAAAAAATTCAACAAGTTCTGATGCAACTACCGCGACAAGAAATAAAAAAATTGTTAGATTAGGAATAAAATAGGAAAAAAACAAAAACACAAAAAATAAAAAAAAAACAATCTAAACGTATAAAAAAAAAACGCAAAAAAAATTAAAGAAATCATCCAACAAATAGTATATTTCTTACAATTGTTTTTGATTTGTTTTAATTAATTTTTAAATTGTTTTTAATTTGATTTTAATTTTAGTTTTAGTTTTAATATGTTTTTAATCATTAATCTATATATGTCTGTTTATTTTATTTTATTATGCAAAAGCATGCTTACACACAGACATTTTATGTCTCGTAAGTTTTCTTTTATTCACATAGGTACCATTAATTTTCTTTTGTATCACAAGTTTTATAAGTATGTATTTATTGTTTTTATGTGAATAAATTATTATTATTATTATTATTATTGTGTAATTTTCAAACGAATTGTTTACCTAACCGCAATGTTATTAATTACTTATCTTGAAAGTAATTATTTTTATGCATTTTTTTTCCAGACGATCTGTTTACATCTTTATTTTTAATTTAAAAACAACACATGAAAATAAGTCAATTTAAAGTGAAAACTGATATAAAACTATACGTTAATGATTCGAAATTTTCCTATGAGCTAATTAGTAAAAAAATAATAATTTAGATACACCTAAAATTCTACTATTTTTAAAACAACATAAAATAATTCTAATTAGATTAAACCTACGACATTTTATGCTTATAAACTTTTGTTGTACATTGTAATTTACTCAAGATAAATTTAATAATAAAAAATAAAATATAAACGACTAAAAATAGAATGCTAAATATAAATAATAACACGTCCAGCAAATAATACTGATAAAATGGCATATCAACAGCTGCAGTCTTCATAAAAGGGGCGCCATTTTGTCTCACAACATATTCCGTCCAATACACAGCAGTTTCTAATGGAGGTAATGGCCTATCTTTGAAACGATTCGAAAGAGCTTTCATTTCATTGCTGCAAATAAAGAATAAAAGTATCAGTTTTATTAAAAGATAGTCTGTAGTTTCAAAACAAAACAATATATTTGATGTGATATTAAAAAGGAAAATTATGTCAAACGGTAACGTTAAATAATTAATTTTGAAGCTATATTGCGAAATTACATTTCTTGCAATCGATAATGCAAAAGAATTTCGCAATCAGAACAATTTAACAGTTTAAAAATTTAATAAAACGACTGAACCCGAAGATGGAAAACATGTTTCCGAAACATATGTAGTGCTGTGCTAAACGATATAAAATAAAAACATGACAGAATAAACCTAGGAATTTTTTTTTTATATTAAATTCTATTACGTTCAGGAAATTATCCTTATATAAATAAAAATAGAGTTAAAACGTTGGATTTTTTTATAAAAAAATAATTTAAATATTTTGTGTCTACGCCATAATAGAATACTAAGTAGCCCAATATGGGGTCCTGATGAGGTACTTGAAAAATTCATCCAGTGCAGTTCTATATAGTACAAAAATAAATAAATAAAACGTATATAAAAATTATTTTATTGAAATATAAAATCACACACTTTTAAAAAAGTTATAAAAACCCTCGTCAAACCTAAATAGAGTGTATAAATTTACATTAAAATTAAAAAGATTTTTTTTAACTACAAAAAAATAGATAATATAACCTGAACAAATGATAGTAGGAATCTAGAAAACTTAAAAGCTTCCACAAAAGTCACAAATTTAGTTAGGCGTCACAGTGTACATGAGTCCATTCCAAAATAACCTTCACACTGAACCCACTTCTTGACAAAACATGCATTCTGCTTTAATATTATCCGAATCAGAATCATCTGATTCTTGAAAATGCACCTCGATATCTGACTCCGATGATTAGTCTTTTAACAGCCTGTTTCTATTCTTTTTTTCCAATTTTATTATCTAAGAAAACTCCTAAACAATCGATGTAGACACGGAGGAAAATGGTATAGACACAAAATACGTACCCAGTATATATACCAATCAGTATTGGCACTCTGAGGCGGCACGTTTGATCTTTAAAAGTAGAAATTTTAGTTGACACTTGACGTTTTCGGGATATGAAAAGTTTTCTTTACACGGACTTGGTATACCTGGTTAGTTGAATTTTTGTTCTGCTGCTTTTTAAATTCGTGTGTATGAGGGAGATGTGAGATACCTTTATAGACAACGGTTGAACAACTTAATTACTTTGAAGAAGAAAATAGATTAGATATCAGGGCAGTCTTTGCAAATGTAAGAAGGACAGAAATGTTTTAAATTTTTTATATATGTGAAATATTACTTTTTGGTGAAAAGTTTAATTACTTTTAGTTCAAAATATAACGTTAGTTTGTCAAGGGAAATATATAACACACAAGGTTAGAGTAACAAAATAGAGGTATTGCTTTATTTCTTAAGAATTACTCTAATCTAAAACCTTTCTAGTATATTGTAAAAATTTATTCTATACGTTATTTAGGTACTGCAAAATCTACAGGAAAGTATGTAGTTTTAAATGTAAAAATTTGTAACGGAGACATATTTAGTGTAGTTTTTTTACAAATATATACTCAGTGACTTGTTTTTGTGAATGAGTTCAAGTATGGCAGACTGAAATCGTTATTTTTTATTATGAATTAATTTGAATTTATTTTAAAATGGGAACTATATGTATATGGTTTTCGTAGTTATTACACTTGTGATAAAAATATCAAAGTTATGTATATTGGCCATTTACTACACACAGCAAATTCATAGACACAATACATATTACTATTTGACATTCTTGTAAAACCACTAATTTAAAATTGACTTTAAACTAAGTGACTACATACAGAATTGTTTGAAAGCAACCATAATGTATAATTTATTTATTGGATACTATAAAAAAATTAATAGTAGTTACATGTAGAGTTAAGTAACAAGAAATTTAAGACCAAAAACAAAACAAACCTTTATATCTAGTGAATTTAATTTAGTACAGTCCTCAACTTTCTTAGGCTAACAATAAAGATATCTATTTGGATCTCGCTAAGAAACTCATTGGTAACAGCCATCATCTTGTTAAAAGGAGATATACTACTTGGATCTAAATCAAATAATTTTTTGTTACTTGGGTTTCTTAGATTAATCTTTGCAGCATTAACATTTATATAGTCAATCAATTCACAATCTTTGTACTTAAAATAGAGTACAAAATCTATCACAGCCTGTTGCTTTCTTCTTTGTAAAAGAGATTTAATCTTAAAACTATTGAGCATAGTTTTATACGAGATCTTAGGTATAAGGGCACAAGTATTTTTTATGATATAAAGGTACCGTAAAAATATTTTTTGTACTTTTTCAATATGATCAATTTGTGTGGCTTCCAAGGGCATCCATATTTGTGAAACATACTCAAGATGGAGTCTTACTAAGGCATTATATAATCTGATTTTGGTGGTAATCCTAAATTTTTTTGTATTTCTGATTTATTTTTGTTTATTGCTTTTTTAGTTATGTGTAAAAAATGGTTATTGAACTTCAAATTAGACTGAAAGACAACTCATATTCACGATTTAATGTGACATCACAGGTCTTATTTCTAATGTAAAACATTAAGAGGCTATGGATCCTTACAACTCAAAATATGCATACGTTTGTAAGTGTTAAATAGACGGATAAAAAGTGTTGATTTTTATTTACAACTATAATAAGAACCCATTAAAAAGATTAAGAGCAATAGAACATTTCAACAAATTTCTATAGGTACAAATATTTTTGATAGGTACCTGATAATCAATAAATAATATATTTTTGGAGTAGCAACAGGTTTATTAATACACAACTATTATTTTGTTACAAATACTTATAATATTTATAATTAACATAATAGTTGATATAAGTCCTTTAAAAACAATATATTTTGATTTAATTGTTGAATTTATACATTAGCAATTTTCCTTGTAGCATTGTTTACATTTTGCAGAGAAATATTGTATTCTGCTTTTAGCTGATAAATCATGTACATGTAAATGGGTTGAGTGTAGACAATGTTAATGTTTTTGCTACTACTGCTGGCTAGGAATGCTGGGCTGGGACACCAACAAAAAAAAAGGAAGCACAAAGCACTAGATGTTTTTATCACTTATACACGTACAATTTAAAACCATTCAAGTAACTAGCATGTTGGAAATACTTCACGAAAACATATAAAACATAAATCAGTCGAAGGCAATGTATTTTTTTTTATAACACACCTTTTTAGCTTGATTACTTTTAGTACTCTATTTATTCCAATGTCCTCAAATAAAACGAGCAATAATAAGGATAAAACACACACTGAAGTGTATTTGGGGTATTTTTGATCTAAATCCACTATCAAAATAACAAATTTTCCGTTTTTAAGCTGTGAATGTATTACAAAAACTACTTCGATAAAATGTAAACAAAAGTTTATATTTGTGTACGAAATATGGGTTGCCTGCGCATGGTAGCGAGTTTTTAACCGGATTTATGACAAGTGATAGGTTATATCCCGAAAACGTCAGCGCAGTAAAAGCTGCGCGTCTTTTTCCCGCCCAGAGAGTGTCATGGGCCTGATACGTATATCCCAGAATCTCATCTTGCGGTGGAAGGGGAAAGTCAGATTTCTATGGATGTGTTTGGAGTAGCAGGCACAGATTAGCCTAGATCATTGGCGTGTCCGATAGTTTTATATTTGCGCTGTGTATAAATTTCAGTGGTGGCGTTGATTTTTCGCGTTTAATTGTGTTTAGTTGGATTCAACATATTATTATAATTTGTGTTTTTTTTATTTGTACATTTTAAAGTTTTTTCGCGTTTTATAGACTTATTATGAGCAAACGTAAAGCTGGAGTAATTTGTTATGTAAGTTATTGCCAAAATAAAGCATATAACTGTGATCTATCTTTTTTTAGATTTCCAAAAGATCGTGTGAGGTGATAAAATTTATATAAAAGAATGACCAATTTCAAAATAAAAATTTTATGCTAATATAAACAATACAATATTTTTCGATTTAAAAAATAATGGTTTTTAGTGCAAAAATGTGGTTAATTGCAAGTGGACGAGAAGATCTGCAGGAAAATATTATTTCCATTTATAATTATAGACTGTGTGCTGCACACTTTGAGGAAAAAATAAAGATAAAGACTAAGTGGATTCAACCACTGTGTTATAATTTTTTTAATACAAGCTGTCCAGCAAAATCCTTAAAAATTATTATTGATGAATTGGTTATAAAACTAAAAAATATCGGTTTAACTGTTTGTGTTTTACTGACAGATTTAGGATCTAATTATATACAGTTAAAAATTTTATTAAAGATAATTTCAACCCAACCTTATTTTTTTGTAAATAGTAAAAAAAATTTTTACATGTTTGATCCTGTCCATTTAATAAAGGCCGTTGAAACAGACTACAGAAAAAATGATAACCTACAAAAAAAATTTCAAAGATACGTATGTGGTTATTTAATTAAAAAATGTTTAAATAAACACACATGTACCATTTGTCAAGATTATAGTAATGAAATAAAGGATCTTGATGATTCAACAATATTTTGTCTTCAAAAAGCATATGAGACTAAACATAAAACTTTTGGAAATTTATTGATGCCTAGTGACAGCTTTCTCTATTTTATTATTCAATTAGGAGTTGTATTTGATAATAATTTTGAAAATGTTTGTCTTTCAACCACAATATTAAAACAATTACTCAATTTAAGCAGTCCTGTTATATTCCATCATCCATGCCAACAATTTCCTATAAACTATGTATTTTAGATTAAGACTATTTTATGCAGTTAAGAATATTAATAGAAATTTTAAGAGTTCTGATAATAAAACAAAAAAGTAAATTTGGAAAAACTTATAATAATTTGGTTTACTTTATTTGATTTATTTTATGTATTTATAAATTAGTTTTTCTCCGATTGACATTAAACGTCAGTTTTAGTGACATTTATCGATCATAGAAGTAACACT